CAGAATACTTCTTTCCTTATTTGAGTTTCTAATCATAAACCTATGTACTACAAACTCCCTTATAGATACTCTTGTTCATTTGTGTATTTTTTGAATTTTTGATGAATTTTTATTACTATTTTTATCACTATCATCAGATTGTTGATATATAGATTTATTATCATTATCAAATTCAAACACAATCTCTTGTTCTTGTTCTTTTTCTTTTCCTTTGTTAAGTTTTCTTTTCTTTTTTTTAGATTTATCATCATTATTATTACTATCTGAACTATTTTCAGATTCAGATTGTTGTGTTGTTCTTCTTCTAATACAACTTTTTTTCTTTTAGATTCTTTATTACTTGTTTTATTTGTTTTACTAATACTCATAAAACTTGCTGAGGATTCAATAGTTGCATCTTCTAATAATTGAGTTAAACCTGCTTCCCTTTTGAATATATTTCTAATAAAGTGTCAAAAGGTATTGTTTTTTGAAGTTCTTTTTCTTCCTCTTCCAGTTCAGGTAAATCATATAAATTTCCAATCCAAGAACTATCACGTAATCTATGAACATCATCTTTGTATTTTAATACTAGTCTTATTTCTTCTGCTATTATTCTTTTTTGTTCTTCTGTTATTACTCTTTCTTGTTCTTCTTGTTCTTTATCATCCTCACTATTATTTTTATTATCATTATCACTATTATTATCACTATCATTATCCTCATTATAATTATCACTATTATTCTCACTATTATCATCATTACTATTATTACTATTATCATCACTATCATTATTATTATTTTTACTTTGCTTAATAATTTTTTCTTTTTAGGGTCTGTTCTTAATATATTATAATGCCAACCATATTCTTTAAATGGAAATAGCACAGGATATTGTAAAAGATCATAAGCACCATGTAGTTCAGATATTCTTTGAAACATATTATCTGTTCTTTTAATAAGAATATCTCTTTCTTCTGGCATTTGATGATCATTATAAATTACACCTATTTCTTCAGGTGTTGGTATATTATATAATTTTTATCCTTGCCATGAGTATTATAAAATGCTATATATAATACTTCTTGTTTAGTTTCTATTTCACTATCTCTAGTACATCTAAATGTTTGTATAAAAGGATTATTATCAGAAAGTTCAAATTGAAGTTCATCTAACAATTTATAATCCAATTCCTTTTTCATTATTTCATGTCTTCTTTTAAGTTGGTCATCATAAGTATCACAAAAATATATTTGAGCAAATTTTGGGTCTTGACCTTTATCAGGTATTAATGAACCCATCCAATGATAATGCTCTTCATTAATTTTATAAGTATAAACTCTTCTTTGGCATTGGCTAAATCTTTATCTAATTTTGTACTAATAGATATAAAAGCAAATAAAGATTATACACTCTTATTCTATCAATATACTAATTATTAGATGAATCTTTGCCTGTAAGTAACTTATATATTACTGATAGTGCTGGATCAAGTAATGCTAATTTTACTTTTCCATTCATACAGCATAGTTCTGGTTTTTTTTCTACCGATTTTAAGGCTTTACAATGTTTATATTCAATATTCATTCCTCTTCCAAATCTATGTCTTCTATCCTCTATATCTTCACCATCTACTCTCTCCTTTTTATAATTATCTAAATTACAATATCCTATTCTATGAAATCGTTTTAATTGTTCTAATTGTTCTTGTTTCTTTTTCTTATATTTTTCTCTTCTCTTTTTATTTATTTATTTATTTTTTTTAGTATTTAAAGAAGCTCTATGCTCTTGTTGTCTCAATTTATCAGATTTTTTTGATCTTGTTCTTGTTGAAAGTCCTGCTAAATTTTGATAATATCTATATTTAGCATTTCTTTTATTTTTTAATCTATCTTCTCTTTCTTTTCTAGTTTCTTTTTTTTTCTAGATGTCTGAGTTTTTATTCTTAGCACTAGACTTAAAATTTAAAACCTTTTCCAATTATATAAAAAGTTTTATTAAGTTTAATAAAGATAAGAGCAAGGTCTCACCTTAAATATTTAAAAAAAAAAAAAATTCTATACAAATTAATTAATTAATAAAATACTTTTAAAATTATATACAAATTATTTTATATACTAAATAAAATTATTTAGAAGAAAAAACTTCTTTATATACAATATTTTTAGTATATACACCTTTTTTGCCTTCAATATGCCCTTCTTTAACTAAGACTTTAATTTTATTCTTTGATATAACTCTTAACAAAGCTACATATAATTGCCCATGTGTAAAGACTGGCTTAGGCAAATATAATCCCATATTAGGAATTGTTTAACCTTGAGCTTTGTTAATTGTCATTGCAAAAGATAATTTAATTAGAAATTGTCTTTTTATTTATTTAAATAGAAGATCAGTATCCGATGGTATCAATTTCATTCGAGGTAAAAAATTTCTTTTTTCCTTGATTAACTCCTGTTAAGATTTCAGCATCTATAAGAAATCTACTACAGTTTTTTATTATTAGGCATATACTATTACATAATCCTTCTGAAGAATTAAGATTACATAAAAGAATAATAGGTACATCTTCTTTTAGTACCAGATAATAAGGTGACATTCCACTTGGTGTTAAATTATTTAGAAATTCAATAGGATAAAGACTTGAGTCAATTAATTCTTTATCCTAAACTGAATCAGCAGAATAATAATCAACTTTCTTACCAGGAATTTGTTCAAGTATTTGTTGATTAATATATTCAACATCAACATTTTTAGTTGCAAGAATTGCTCTATTTTTAATAAAGTTCTTATTTTAATAGTTTTTAGTAATATTATAAAGATCTCTGATATTAAATTATCAAGATTTTCACTATTTAGAACTATATCATCAAGCAATCTTATAAAATCTTCACCAATATCAGAATGCACTAGTACTTCTCCTTCACCAAAATCTAATATAAATTTAGCAAATTTTTTTTGTTCTTCATTATCTTGTTGAATTCTCATATTAGTTTTTAATTTCAGAATATCAAATTTCTTTCAAAGAACTGAAGATTTTAAACATGTATCAACAACTTGACCTTGAGTACCTCGAATTACTACTGGTAAAATTTGTCTGAAATCACCACCAAGAATCATAACTTTTTCTTCAAAAGGTTCATTATTTTCTAATATATCTTTAAAAGTTCTATCAACTGCCTCAAATGCAAGTTTATTCATTATTGGTGCTTCATCTCATAGAATGACTTTAGCAATCTTAATTAATTCTGCTAATTCAGATTGCTTTTTAATAGTTAATATTGTTTTATGATCTACATTATTTAATGGAATTCTAAATCTTGAATGAGCAGTTCTTCCACCACTCATTAATAAAGCAGCAATTCCTGATGATGCTACAGCAATTGCAATTCTATTTAAACCTTTTTCTAATAATCTTACATAAGTTAAGATCATATTATATAAAAATGTTTTTCCAGTTCCTCCAGGTCTATTAATAAAAAATAATTTTTGAGTAATTTCATTTTTAATTGCTTTTATAATAATATCAAATATAAATTTTTGATCACTATTTAATTTGTTCTGATCTTTTAAAACTTGATTGATTTCATTTTGATCATAATTTAGTTTATCAGCAATTAATATATCTTGTTGATTTTCTTCTAACAAATAATATTCTAGCATTGGAAGTCCTGGAAAATCAGAAAGACCCATTCTATTTTGAATTAAAAAATTTCAATATATACCATTGCTTTTGTAATTGCTAGATTTTCTTTATTATCATTGTTAAGAAAATCTTCAATTAAATGTTTAGCATATTTTTTCCAAAGAGTTTCTACATCTGTAGGTAAACAATATACTAATATTGAGGCAAATAATAATCTTAGTTGTGAGGGCATTTTAAGTAAAATTGCTTCTTCAAGACAATCAATACATTTATTATCTTTATCCACCAAACCAAGTTGATATGCTACATCTTCATAAGTATTATATTCTACATGATCTATTGTTTTTAAATCTTCAAATGATTCAGGACAATAAGTTACATTTAATAATAATCTTAAGTAAATCTCTCTTTATCTCTTGGATTAACAAAATACATTTGAGAAATTACTTTTTCACCACCTTGTTTTCTTTTTTTCCAATTATTAGTTTTTGTATTCCAAGTATAATATTTAGGAATATCTATATATCTTAAAGTTTGAAAAAGTTTATCCTCAGAATTATTAGCACAAAGTTCAAAATATCTTGTTAATTTTGTATGTTGTACTTTATCAAGAATTGATGATAAATTTTCACTTTTATGAAAAGTAACTTGTTATTGATTAGGCAAATGTACAGGAAGCCTTTCAACTTTATGAGATCTTTCATGTAAACCAAAATTAAATAACTTCCAAATTCCTTCAGAAGCAAAAACATATCTTGCATCTACATATTTTTTAATTTTATTGTTTGGATTATTTAATGAAATTAAAACTTTATCCTGCCCTTTATATACATATTTATAGAAATATTTTATTGATTTAACACTTGAATATATCTCTACATTTATATGGCAGTTATATTTTTGACTGAGATATGGATTATAAGGAACAATTCATCTATTATTAATTGTTACTGAGTCTTTACTTTTTTGAAACCTTCTAAAATCTTGTCTTCTTCTATATATAGGGTATCCAGATTTATTTGTAGATGTATTAGCAATAAAATCTTTAGGATAATTTTTGCTACATTTTTCATCAATTATACATGAAGATTCTAAATTAATAAACTTTTTACAGAGTCCATGTATCATATTTTTGGTTACTGTTTCATAATTTTGGTTGTGTTTTAAAATCAGGTATCTCTGCTTATACAATTTGATCAAAGTCTTCTGGAGTTTTTGGTTTATCTTTTGGTGCCAATATTATTAATATATGTGTATGTGGCATTCCTCTTTTTTGAAACTCAATTACATATACATGTACAATAACTTTTTCCAAAACTCCCTTTACAAATAAATCATTAGTTATTGCTTTTAATTTTAATTTAAAAACCCTTGCAATCAAGTCAGGCCTATTAGAGGCAATTTGATTTGATAAAAGCTCTTTAGTAATTTCTGGCCATTT